CGGAGGCTCCGTGCCGCCATATTACTGTACGGACTAGGGGGACGGCAACGGCGGCCCTGCGCTTCTTCTCCGGCAGCAACGTAGGCCCCTCCCTGCCGAGGAGCGCCCGCGCCAGTAGGAAGGTGAGCCCCTTCATCCCCCTCGATCCCCACAGCGATTGGGCGTCGCCATCTTCCCGTACGCGAGAAACACTCTCCGGCGACTTCCGGCACGTGACTGGCCGGCACCCGAAGTGGTTCGGAGGCCACGCCCCTCAAGGCCGAACTCTTCTCGCGCTGTGGCTGGGCTGCACTCCACGGTGTGGTGAGTTCTGTCCCTTCACAGTCGGTAGACTTCACACGCGCGGGATCGGGAGGGAGGGGGTGGAGACGGCCTCCCCAAGTTTCCGCCTGCCCCGTGCCCGTCAACGGGCGGCCAACCACTGCGCATGCGCTTCCTCTCCCGCCGGCCTGCGCGAGCCGCAGAGAGAAGGAAAAGAAGCGCGCGGGCGCCGAGCGCACTTCCGGGTTTCCTGCGGCCCCTTCTGGGTCGCCCCGGGCGGGCGGCGGCCCTCCAAAGGCATCGTCCCCCGGGAACGCCGCTGCCGAGTAGTGGCATGCGGGGAGGACGTTGGGAGACGGTGGCGAAGAGACGCTGCGAGCGATCGGCCAGAGAAGAGGCAGCGCGGTCTGCAGGTGGCAGGGGGGGTGGGTGGGGGGACCGCAGCCCCCCCCCGAGTTTCTCGGGCTGTAAATGAGACAGCGGGGGAATTGCGCTTGCAGGCTTGCAAGAAGGTGCTGCTCCTTTGGGGGGCCTAGAGCAGAACCCCAGCAAAGAAAGGGCTTGGCAGGACATTTTGCCCGTTTTTATTCAGAAAGTTTGATACACGCACTAATCGAAAAGCATTAAAAAGGTTAAAAAAAATGAAACCCAAGTGTTGAGGGTTTTGGGGCCACGCTCATTTCCGGTTGCTGGAGGCTGTGCCAATGACGCACTCGTTGACCTGCAAGGTAAGGGAGGGGTTCAGCCACCTTGCCCCTCAGCCTGGTTCCCCTCCCGACCAGCCCCCGGGGGCCACTTACTTTTCTAGCAAAGCGGAGAGAGTTCAGGGACTCGGCAAAGTTCTCCTCCAGCGGAGAGATGTTCACGAACATAAGCCTGAGGGAAAAGTGCAAAGCGGGCCCTGAGTGGGGGTGCTCCCAAGGGCAGTGCCCTCTCACCTGCTTCCACCCCTAGCCACTCACATTTTGGAGCTGCCACCCAGCGAGTTCTGGAGGAGATACGTCAGCTTGCTGTTGCGGTAAGGGACGTGGGCCTCCTGCAAAAGGGGACAGGCGGGATGTTTCTGGCCCCAGGCAGGGAAGAAAGAAGCCCCGAGGTTGGGATCAACCAGCAGCAGGGCAGATTTCCCAAGGCAGCTCCCTGGGTGGTGGTATTCTCCAGGGAGGGGAAAGAGGAGCCCTCTGGACTCCCAGCTGCTTTCTCACAACCTGCCCCCAGCCAGCCAGGGGGTGGAAGGGCTCCAGCTACCTTGTTGCTGAGGGCCATGATGACCAGGCCCAGGCTGGAGAGGCTGGTGTTGATCGCCTGGGTCTCCTTCAGCCGCTCCCCCTTGGAGAGAGACTTGTCCAGGCGCTCACTGCCCGCCAAGTCCACCAAGCTCAGCACAGCTGCAGGCCCAAGGAGAAGAACAAGAGCAAGTCAGGGCCCTTCTGAACTAGGGGCTGTTCAAGAATCAGCAGCCCCAGGCCTGGAGAGCGCTGGACCACTCTGTCTCCCGCCACAGCGGCCACTCACAGGAGGTGTGCAACTCCTGCTTGGCATTCCTGCCCTCGATACGGAGCTGGAAGAGGCTGTGGCTGCGGGAGGAGCGCTCGTTGAGGTTGGTCTTGGCCACTGAGCGGTGGGTTTTGGCCGTCATCAGCAGCTTCAGAACCTAGAAAGGGCAGGGAAAGGTGGGCGTCGGCAGAGTGTGGGAGCCAGCAAGAGAGGCTGCAGGGCCAGGCCCCAGAAGTAATGGGTATGTGGGGGAGCCATGGGGAGAGAAGAGGAAGCTGGGTGAGAGCCCCAGGGCCTGGCTGATTGGATGCTCACGTCTTCCAGAGTAAAAGATGCCAGAAGCCCCTCTGGCAACATGCAGGTCTAGCGTAGTACCTCCTGCTCAGAAGAGACAGGGACGTAGCAGAGGTTGGGGACGTGGAGCTCCTCTGTGAACTGGCTCACTCTCCGGATCTCCAGCTCGCCATTCTGCTCTGGCCGCAGCACCAAGAGGTCCCGCAGTGTCTCATTGTAGATCTCTAGGAAGTTGGCTGTGAATTGGTACTGACAGGAGAGACGGCAGGATACTCAGGCCCTCCCAGGATACGGGGCAGCAGGCCAGTTTCAGAAAGCCAGAGGGAGGGTGTAGCCCCCCGTCAGCCCTGGAAATGGCAGGAAATGGGGGCTCAGCCCAGGCCCAGAAAACATGAGGTTTATGTCTGATTTTGCTGCCCAGTATGACTGGGATGCCTGCAAGGAGCTCCTCCAGACTTTTCTCCCCCTTCCGCCCTACAGAACCAATATTATGTTTCTCCAGGCAGTTTGAATGCCTCTGAAGAACAGACAAGGGACCCCAAACCCCTCGGGTCTGCACAGTCCCAGAAGTCAAATTGCACTAGGCCATTTACAAGGGACCCTTGTAACTCAAGTTTCTCTGGGCACAGAGGGACCAGCTGCCCCCACTCACCTTCCATCCCTTGGCCTCCATCCCGCGGGAAGTTGTAAAGACCTGTTGCACAGCCCGAGGAATCATGCCTGCTGTCTCAGGGCCCATGTCATCTGGGCCCTCCATTGTGTATGTCTTCCCGCTACCCGTCTGCCCGTAGGCGAAAATGCAGACATGATATCCATCCAAGGCCGACTGGCAGGAGAAGAGAACATCAAGGGTGAATGCCTTGCCAAAGCAGGGTCACCCCCCGCCATCCACCAGGTGTGCCTCTGCCCCCCTACCTGAACAAGCAGGGAAATTTCCTCAAATACGCTCTCCTGAGAGCTGGACGGTGGAAACACCCGGTCAAAATTGAACTCATACGTGATGTCCTCCTTGCGCTCACGGCCAACATGGGACTGCAGGGAGAAGCCACGAGGGTCAGGCTGATCCACCCCAGCCCAGAACAGACACTGGCTCCCCCGCTTGGCAGAGCGTTGCTTGAGGAGCTTGGCTAGTCACCTGCCTCGCTGGCCCCATTCCGCCAATGTGGCAATAGGGCTCTCCCCCCTCCGCCCACTAGGCCTGGGGGTGAGGCAGACCTACCTCCTCCACCTTGGAGAGCACAAGGCTCCTGTTGTCGTCAGCTGGGAAGCGCAAGTGGCTGATCGCCTTCTGAGCCTGCCTCTCACAGGCTAGCAAGGGGCGCACCCGGCAGAAGACACGGATGTTCCCCTGGAAAGCCAAAGCAAGACAGGTCAGCCCCTTGTGGCAGTGGCAGGGGCCCCCTTCCCACAGGCTCCTTCCTTACCTTCAGCTCCTGCACCGCATTGTGCAGGAAGCGGCGCTCCATCTCTGACTCGTGCAGCCTCTGCTCCAGCTCTGTCGCCTGGGCCCTCAGGGTCTCGTTCTGCCGCCTCTGCCCAGCCAGGCTCTGCTCAGCCAGCAGCAGCTCTCCCTGTGGGGCAAGGAAGGATGGGTGGGCGGAGCCCTCGTCTCCCTCCCCACCCTGGACTCCGAAAGAGGGAGGTTTGGCTGGCATGGGACATCCCAGGAGCCTTCCTGCTAGGGGCTTCGATTTATGCTGCAGGGTTATCCTGCCTGCTTTGCAAGGCTGTTCTGAACATTCACCTTGGGGAGGTCCTTTCTGCCTGGCCCGGCCTTGGCTGAGCAGAAAAAGAGCCAGCTGCGCGACAGATGCTATCCAGCATGGAGAAAAAGCAAGAAGAGCAGGGCAGTGAGGGGCCACAAGGCTCTAGCTTCAAGTCTGGATCTGTGGCAACCAGCCTGCTTCTGCCCTCCTCTCTGCCACCCCCCTGGACCAGTCTCAGCCTGTTATTAGTGTTACAAAATGTCTGAAATAAGCAACCTGAGAAGGCCAGAGGGGGCAGAAACAGCAAACAGCACAAATCTAAGGAAGGTGGGCTCAGATGTGTGAAGCCAGACCAGCCTGGAAACTGAAAATGATGCATGCAGAAAGGCTCCCTTCACCCAGTAAAGGCAGCAACGGCCAACGAGGCTCACTGGGGGTGGAAGGACTGAGGGCCAGACAGGAAGCCAATCAGGGAAAGACCACCACAGCTGCAGCTCCTTCCGCCCACCCTCGATCAGCGGCTAGGGAAGGCTTCAGCGAGTCCGTGCGCATGAAAGTGCTTGAGCAAAACTTGGTTGCGTTGCATTCATTAAAGCTAGAAGGACTAACAAGCAAATTGGTGTGGATTACTTGTTTGTCCACGATCCCCTGGAGGTTATTATCTCACTGAAAGGCCCGGGAGCGTGTTCCCCATGTAAACTCCTGACCACTGACCAAGGGTCCCTCTCCCATGATCTCGAGATGCCCATTCCTGGCTGTGCGTGAGGTGTGCCGTGCAGCAAGCGGAGAGAGCTGCTCCTGCGTGCTTCAGTGGGCGGTGAATGGAAGCCTGTTGACAGCAAGGGAGATACAGCGAGCCGTGGCCCGCCCGGAAGGCCCAGCCCATCCACTCACCTCTCTGGCCCTCAGCTGGACGGCCAGCTCCCGGCTGCCCTCCGTGACCTCCTGGTTGAGCACCTCCAGCTCCTCAATCCTCTGGGCTTGGCTCCGGAGTGTTTCTTCCAGCTGCTGCTCCTTCTCCAGAAGCTGTGACACTTTCTGGGTGCTCTCCTCAGCCTGGCCTTGGCAGACCCGCAGTTCCGAAGCCAACAGACTGCAGAAGGCCATTGGGAGGGTTAAGACCAGCAGCTGGCCCCCAGGGGTCCCGCTGCTACATTCAGCTGCTCTCCTCACCTGGCCTGGCCAGTCAGCTCCCTGTTCTGAGCGTTTGCTTCCTTCAGCTCCTGCTGCAGCCCTCCCAGCTGGCTCTTCAGGGTCTCGTTCTCCCCCGCCAGCCCCTGGACCCTCTCCTTGTAGGCGCCCACCTTTGCACGGAGGTCGCTGATCTGTCCCTTCAGGTCCCAGGGGGTTCGCTTCTCCCTTCCGCCTACAGTGGCAGCAGGAGGGGCTGCGGGGGAGAAAACAGGCCTGAAGAGCAGCAGGGGAGGTTTAAAAGGCTCCCACCCACCCACGGGCCGGCAGTTCAGGGCCCTACCTGGCTTGGGAGGTGCCGCAGGAGCTGGCCGACAGATCGGCCCTAGAAGGGAGAAGAAAGAGAAAAAAAAACAATAGAGCAACTCAGGAGGGCAACTTTTTTGCTGCCCCGCCAGCGCAGCCCAGGTACTGCTAACTGCCTACCCATGGAAGAAGCTCCTGGGACAGCTATGGTGGCCCGGGCCGAGGATCGACGTCGTCCTACAGAGAAAATGCAGTGAAGGTCGCCAGCCGCTCTCCAGTAAGGCTGCTGCGCGGGCGACGCGCGTGATTTCTGGGTGCGGGCAAGGCCAGCGGCAGCTCCGGCGGCACCATTTTGCCA